CGAAACAAAAAAATCAACATCTCTTCAATATCTGCTTGGAATAAGATGACCTTCATTGCGATCTCAGATTCAAACGCACTATGTTTTCCTTGCCTACTTTAAAGGATAATGGGCAACGAATTGTTTCATGAATAGTTATTTCAAATGCGAATGCTTAATTCAATTCACCCCATACTTTTGTGCCTCATCCCTGTCAATATGGTCGAACGTAGGGAATTAAATAACCAGTCAGGTAATACAAACGTGGAATTGCATCAAGTGAGGGCGCACTTCAGTTTTCTCGTAAGGGGTTGATTGCCCTATGTGGGATTTGCTGCAGAATGATATACAATGCAGCAAAAAATAATAATAATGCAAACATCAATTGCACACAGTATTTTCAAAAGTAAATGTACATATTTCCTATTGACAGTGACTGGACAAATGATTACTTTAACAACTGTATCTGCGAGTGCACAGCAGCACAAACTCTGATTGTGGAATGAAAGCGTGTGTTAAGAACTAAACTCAAAATATTGAAAAGTGAAACTAGTTTAGAAGTTGAAGGATTATCAGTTAATGAATGTTAACCAACCTTACTACGTGTAAAGGAAAAGAGAAAAACTGCATTTGTGCATTTGTGCCCTACATACTAAAGAAGACATGGGAACACCTTTATAATATCAGGATCTTGTGACCGCTGAAAGCTTTGCATAATGCTTCCGAAACCTGTGTTCACAATTTCTGCAGTAGTCTTGAATAAAACATGCCGGGGACATTTACACATATATTTATATCTCTCATGTCCTATTGGTTGCAGTTTTTTCTGATAATCATGGTATTTTGACTGAGTCCTTCTGTAGAACAGTCTTTGGTCCGCAATGCATTTTCATCGACCACACAACATGTCAAAAGACTTCTTTCGTGTATGTGCTGGTAAAATTCTTCTGACATCTGAAGTAAGGAAACTTTTGATATCACTTGGCTACATATAGAAGGAATGTTACAGTGGGGGACTAGATACATGGATGTTGATCAATGAGTAATTTGCATTAGTACATGCATGGGTCCCCCTCCTCTCATTGCTTCGTGATTGCAATTATCAAAACTGGCCATCTCTTGTGTATCAGTATCAAACAGCAGGCCTTCTCCCTGCTAAATACCTTGTTATTTTCCTTACTGGTTGCCGGCCTTCATCTTCAAATTGCATATGGGACATCAAACATGTAGACTGTCCTCATGCTGATCGATGAAAATCTATATCATCGCAAAAAGGAAAACAATTATTACAAGTGAGCACTACATGTGCTGATGCATGGAAATTAAAACTGATGTCAGAATTTCAACACAAATACAGCCTACATGTATTCAGTGCCATAAAAGCCTTGGGTTCTCACAAAATGAAGAGTATTTGGGGACCTGAATGTTAAAGTGGGGGACTGGGCACGTGGGTGTTGATGAACAAACCACTTATGATGGTGATACATGGATGTCCCCCCCCCCCACGAACCCCCACATACCTTTTGACTTCTCAGAATACCTTGCTTAACATCATTAAATGTCACCGTAGGCCTTAAATTGTACAGAACACCTACTGTAGTAACTGTTATTCGTACGTCGCTTCCAAATTCTTAAATAAATGTCGACATAATAACAGGTTTCTATATCGGTGTTTCTTTATTCATGGTCTAGGAATTTTTTACTTGGCAGCTTAATTTAAAAAAAGATGTTGTTGAATAAAACAAAACAAAACAAATAATCCTGGTGCCTTCCCCTTATTTGTAAGAGAAAGTGTATTGATATT